GAGATCCTCCACCGACAGACGTTAAATATGCTCTATTCAAAGCATAATCAAAACTTCAGTCAATCATTTTACTCGAGTGGCCTGTGGGTTAAGTATACGAAACGCGCTTGTAACGTCCTAAGTGTACAAAACAATAACGCTTTCTGGATTCTGTTAGGTCTATCGAGAAGGTGCAGTGCGTCAGACACGTTCACAGCAGTTCACACAGATCGCTTCCAAGCGATAATGCGGAAAAACGTATCCCTTATATGACTCGTGTCAGAAGTAGTCTCAACAGCATCTTGAAAATGTTTGCAGGCAAATTTGATCGTCCAATCCCAATGTACTGTGTTGGACAAATAATAATGTATAAGTCTCAGATTACTAAATATTTTGTAATCTGAGGTATAAATCTTGTTATTTTATGTAATACGAAACTGTTGTAAGTGAAAATTTTACTAATGTTTTGTATAGGTCTATTGTCTGAAATAAAGAAATTCTATTCCATTGTATTAATTACATTTCTATATATAGGAAATGAAACTATTTTTCCGGATTTAAATCGCGTATATTTGTGTTTCCAAACAAACCGACGTTTCGAGCCCTTTACAGGTCCCATGGTCACGTGTCAACGGATTTAAATCCGGAAAAATAGTTTCATTTCTATATAAGTAGTTGTGGTAATATGGACATTGCAAACCGTACAATTTTAACAGTTTCAAATTCCAATTACATTTAAAGGCATGTCTTTCTAATAGACATTAGTTCCTTTATATCTATCTTCCCAGTTAATCCTTTGAAGTTTACATCGAGTTAGCCATAAAACCGCAATCTCGAGCTTTTGTCTTGCGGCTTATGTTTCACAAGTACTACTGGTATAGTTTCTATTTTTTTTTTCTAACTGGGTTGGTCGAAATTTAAAGTTAGTGGAGAATTTAGTTGGTAATCCATTGTAGGTAATCTTTGTCCACTGAAGACGTATTTTCCCTTGTATATATGCAACGTAAACGATAAATAATTTGATTTTTAATTCGGGATTTAGGCGCTGCCCAAATAGAGCCACTTTGATCATCGAGTTTCAGCAATTGGCAACCCGCAACTAGCTGTTTATGACGTTTTTCATATAATATCAAGAAACCGCGTAGATGTAGCAACTTCAGTTGAGAGTTTCGGCAATCTACCACAGTTTTCGATTGCCGAAATCCGTGATTAAATAAATTCTTAATTGCCGCTACTAGAAACTTGCAAATTTGTACCAGTTGTCTCTAGTTGCCAGTTTCCACAACTGGCAACCGTAACTCGTGAGGCAACTTCACTCCCTCTTCGTCCCCCTCAGCGTCAGTCTTGACCGTGGATTTCGAAAGTTTATTTAAAATTGCGGCAATCGGCAACTAGGTCTTTTAGTCGCTGTAGCAACTAAAAGTCCGGCAACCGTTAATGGAAACTTGTAAAAAGTTGCCAGCTGTGTCAACTAAAGTTACTCCATCTTTTGAGCGTCTAAATCGTGTATGTATATGTTTTTATACACGACTAAGTCCCGAATTTAAAATCAAATAATGTGTGTAAATAAGTATAAATCTAACCTAAATCAGTGTAACGATAAATGATTTGTAAATAAATAGATAGGGGCATTTAAATTTAAAAATGTAGTTTTACTTGTCGCTCCACTCGAGACGACAAGGCATCGGCAGATTTGTTAGTAAATGGACCGCATTAATAAAGTAGTGTTTTGAAAAGGTATAGGTAAAGGTAAGGTACGATTTTAATTTATTTCATGATGTAGAAGAAAAACTATAGGCAAAATTAATGCGTCAAAAATGTACTGCTTTGCTTTAAATTTTTTCAAAAATGTTTAGCCTGTATATAATTATTCACATGACAAATCCATTCAAATTGAAAAGGGGATGGTACGAAATTACTTATTTAGATACGGCGACTCGAATATTCGTTTCTCATCTCTTTTGACTGTAAGCGCCACAATGAAATAAGCTACACGTAAAATGAGAAAGGACTATGGATCTGAAACAATGAACTCCATATTAATATAAATGTACTGCAATTCTGAATTAAGCAATTGTTTTACTGTTATATAATAATCTAATTATAATAATAATATACCTCTATATATTACTGGACGTTCTGTCTGCTGCCTTTTGCTGCTCTTTGTTTTATGATAATAAGCGACGGGACGAACAAGTCGTACGTGGGGGTGTAAGCGACACGCCTGTCCATAGCAGTTGCAGTGCCACTCAACTGAGCTTTAAACCGCAAAGATTTGAGAACTAGGTAAGGTGGTAGGGTAGTACTTCACAAGGAACTCTTCTGCTACTAAAGCATCCCTTCCTTCCTTTTGGTGGTCACATGGCTATTCACCTAACTCATTTGCTAGCATTAAAAGACAGGTCTGGGTTCGAGTTGGGCGGTCGTTAAAAAACTATTTATCATCGGGCATTGGCAGCTTAATCTCGATAATGACTCAGACGATCTACATCCTCCCACTGCGTACAACAAAAAACATGCCTTAGGTACATTACCTCCTGCAATATTCACAATAAGTTGGAAAAGGCGGGTCTTATTAAATAACTATCGGTATAATTATGGAGCAAAATCGGGCTGGTTTACAAAAAAAAGGGTATTCAACCCTTTCTTTTCATAATACTCGAGCATTTTACCAAGTTCTACAAATAGTTTCATTTCAATAATTATTATTTAATTAAGATACTATACAGGTAAGGTAAAAAAGACAATAAAAGCTTAAACACTAGAAAGTAAAACTAGGATTTTTAAATTATATGAACAAAATTGGGTCCTCGCGGCAAGGTGCCCAAGATGCTGGCAGCGTTCCCCCTTTGTATTGCTAAGGTAGCTGCCGGCACTTCCCCGACAGTCTATTCATTTTTTCGATAAAATTTTGTACAGTTGAAGTGCACGGGCCAAGAGTTTCGACTCCAAAGGCTGTAAATAGGTAGTCGGGCCCAAGATCCTGGTACTTATTACTATTTATTCTTTCCGTCAGCTCAGCTGCGGAGCCAGGCACATGTGACGTGCCACTGAGATGAAAGTCATTCTTTCTTATGATACTGCCCACGAGGTTGACCGTGCTGTAGATTGAGGACAAAAAGGCCGGAAGGGCTATGGCGGATATACTCCTGATGCCTAGACCACCGTGTCTGATGGGGAGGGTAGCTTGGGTCCAGGCGTTGTAGGTGAGATGGACGTTGAGAATGGATTGTAGAAGAGCTTTTAGGTCAGAATAATTATTAATAATTATTTTCAATAATTATTTCATACTCATCTATTTATTACGTGTGTTTATTATAGAACACACTAATCCAAGATATACCTACTCGTATACGTACGTCATAATTTGCAATAATTCTACACTTGTAGAAATTATGATTTAATTCATTTTTATTATTATATATATTACAGTTGATTATTATTTACTTATTGATATGACGTCAAGTAATTAGTCTCATATAAACTATTAACTATAAACTCATTAGTCTGGTCTGTAATTTGCATGGGCATCCCTCACGATTCAATTCTAGGTCCATTTTTATTTTTAGTTTAAATACTATAGTTTAAACTAAAAATAAAAATGTATCTATATATACTACTACTCTCGTGGAGGGTATATACAACATAAGATAGTATTATTTGGTGATGATAGTTAAAAGGAACTCGGCAAACAATACTAACTTGTGTTTTATAAACCCTCCACGAGCGTAGTGTTTCAAAATTATGTAACCCATGCACAACAAAGAAATTGACGATTTTATTTCTAATTAATATATTTTACTTATATTTCAACTATGAAGATGGAGGAAGGCGAAGCACGCCAACTCTGAAGTTCAATTTATGATAGTTGCCATGTTTCAATCAAATGCAAGCCACTCAAATTTGTTTTCACATTAATGAGTTGAAACTAATCCTCAATTCTTGGTCACTCGTAACGTAAAAAATTACGATGACAAAGTTGTTGCTCTCGTTACGAATTCATGCAGATAGGTACATTTTTGTAGTAGCAGTAGAACTCCTTGTGAAAAAGTTCGTCCAGGGAAGTACTGCCTTCCTTATCTATTTCTGCCGCCAAGTAGTGATGTGAGCATTATTGCGTTTTGTTTTGGAAGGGTTAAGGGTGCTGGTGAAATTTCAGGCACATGGGACTTGTCACCTTATGTCTCAGGGCGCAGTGGTAGTGCCCCTAAGATTTTTGTGATTTAAGGTTCAGAGTGGCATTGGGACTATTATGGATAGGCGTGTCGCTTACCATCAGACGCACGACTTGTTCGCCCCGTCACTTGGTATTATAAAAAAAAAATGGAACTAAGTGAGGTTGGAGTTTATGTACGTCATACAAACACGGTAAAAGTCCCTTGTTTGTACAACGTCACCGCTTTCTCAATCTTCATGAGTATGAATTTAAAGAATATTTTTTCGTGAAAATACGCTCCAGTTTTTACAAATACATAATTGGCATAACGTCAGCGTCCAACTCTCCGTACATCCGCTCTGTAGAGTGACATTCAGAGTAATCACACCTTCATTTCCTTTGCTGTGCGCCAGATTGCATTCGCTACATCACTTTAATTCGTAAAGCATAAAGTTCACTATTAGAAAAGAGGGCGACAGAGGAGCTATATACATACGTTTCGCCGATCGCGCTATATGAGCGACTGACTTGCATTGTAACAAAGAATCGAATGCAAAACAGCTACAATAGGCTCATCAGTCGCGCCATTATTTATTTAAAGAAACGAATGATGTTTACAATAAAGCGTACTTTTATAACAAATTATTTTTACTATTTTACGTACATAATAATATGTTGTTAAATAACGTAAATATGTAATTAAAATGTTGTGTGTTGCCTATATAAATAAAATATCCTTCATTTCGCTTCTCTTCGTCAAGCGTATTGATACAAATTGTTGAATTTATAGCACTGAGAATAATCGACCGAAAGAGGTTTTAAAGATTCGTGTTGTTGCTTTCTGAAGGTAACTTCTTTGTTGCAGGTGCGATCCCAATGGTGACGGCAACCGTGTATTGCGCTCCGGCGTTACTTCGGTACGCGACTTTAACAGTGTACTGCATCGGAAGTCTGCTGGGCTTATACAAGGTACGAGTCTTATACACGTTATATTTTCGCTTCAGATATGTTTATATCGCATAAAATTATACCAAAAATAGAAAAGTTTCCTTCCAAAATGTGATAAGAATTATAAGTTATGACAATGTAACAAAAACATTTTATACGGTTTAAGGCTGGTTTCACAACTTTGCGTACATTCCGTACGGGACAGTCCGTAAGGAAGCAGAGCTCTGAATCGAGTTTTTTTTTTTTAATTTAATTTATTCAAGGAAGACAGTCGCCCACATTGATTGAACGCAAGAGTGGCTTGTGCCGAGTTCAGGCGGACCCGGTTACGTACGGAACAAACCTCGTCACTGTAAAACGATATTCTAACGCCACACATGTTACTCCGCTCCGTTGCTCCGCGCGGACGGTCCGCAGATAAATCCGCACTGCTCTGACATCAACCTAATACATATATTCTCACTAAGAATAACAAGTAACTCACTTACATGAGAACACAGAGCAAAATATTACACTTTTTCGTAGAAAGCATACAAGGTCGATAGTTCACCTACAAAATAATCAAGTTTTACCCGCATTCTAATATAACAAAGGACAGCACGATCTCGGTGTCAACTACATGCGCAACCACAAATTACTTAATAGTTTTACTACAATTTTACTAGATATATATTATTTCCAAAGTGACTGATACAACACTTACGGTTACGCACTTGCGGAATCAACCAAACGTAGTATCGACTCTTAACAGTTTAAAAGTCATTTGCATTCTTAATTGCATTTTCTGTATTTGTTTCTTTTTGTGAAAGAATTTTGCCAAATTTGACTGTATGATTTAGAATGATTTTTTTTAGTATGATTTAGATCCCTTACATTTTCCACCACAAATAAATAAAAATACACACAATCCCTTTCATTACAACAAGATGTGATGAAAAACTGGATCAAAGAATTACGAAACACTCTTTAATGTAATATGCATAAATAAGATCAAACAGTCCAACATGAATAAGAGATGTGAGAGATCCTACACATAATCACATATAATATTTATGTTAGTGTAATACGGAGCGTATTACACTAACATAAATAATATATAAATAACTGTATAATTTCATGATTGAAATAATTACATTTGTCGAAAGTGACTAGGCGGAATATAGATTTTCTGCTAAACCGCAGATGTCTTCCTTTTTTCACGGTTCTGCGCATTTGTGCGCGCAAAATTATACATTGAATATTTTTTCTATAGACAACATGGCGACCTTTGATTTATACAGAGGAAAATGCATACGCATATCCCGACACGGGAAATGACATGGCAGGGTAATGTGAGACTCTCCTCGGTGGACCCACCATGCGATAGAAGCTCGCCTGATGGGTACTCAGAGGTCTGCCCACTAAAGACCTTTATAAGCACCCACTCCCACCGACGCCGCGTCGGTTCGTGGGATCCTGTTAGGAGGTTCCACTGACCGTGGTGGTCATGATGGTCTTTGATCTCAGGTGACAGATCGAAATTCAAAATTTGGACTTCGTCACTACCTGCAGACTTTGTATTTACGAGTATATAGGTCAAAGTCTTCATTTATATTATTGATATAGGTATTGTATTTTTATGCTAGTTTCAAATGTCGTGCATATCGTTTGAGAACACGAGTCCGTCGAATTATTCCGTTCGGAAATTGTTCAAATTGAGTGGATGCCAAGTAAGCTTCACTCGCTCCGTTCGTTGTATTCCGATTATATAAACTGCAAATAAAAACTTTGGCTAGAATAAATTTGTGGAAATGTCAACCACTTTTCAGCAAAGCTAGTGGTAGCGTCAGGAATTTTATAACTCATTGGCCGCGTAAGCTTGAAAAATTATAACGCCACGCAATTTTATTACACTAGTACATAGATATCGTCGTGTTATGGTTATACTGATATTTTTACGTGTTTTATGTTAATGCACTGGTAGGTTACTCAATTTATTTACAAATTCTTAAATACACGCTTATTTTTACAAGTAATAAAAATTACGGAAATCCCTGATGAAATAAGATTCGCTTAAAAATGATTGAGTAGCTTAGGAGGGAAAGAATTTTTCATCCCATTTCGCGGGCCTGCGCAGGCTGCCGTGGAGCCATAAATCTTTGCCCGCTATGCGCGCTTCAATTGTGATAGCCCCGAGAAGTCTCTTATATAATCGTTTAAATGAAACTAAAACAATATTGTATTTTTAATTTTTTTATTTCAGTTTTCATTGCTAACTTGTAATTCACTAGAGAGTGGCAGTAACCATTGAAGAGATGATTAGCCCTAGAAATATGAGATGAATATTTTTTTGGCTCCATGGTTTTTCATTAGTGACTTGAGACGAGACAAAGCGATACTAGAATTGAAATGTCGCCGGCTTATTTTCACCAAAAATTGCGACTAATAGGTCACACGAGCTCGCGCAAGCCATCGCGAGTATCGTGTTTCCGTCGCAGAGTTAAAGTAACTCTATGTAGGCAGCAATAAGGTTCAATATTACGTCAACAAAAAATTTAAATACTCGCGTATCCTCGTCAATCCAGGCCATTTCCATCGAAGATGCGTTAGGAGAAAATTGAAATTTTGCCATACAAATTTCAACTCTCGTCTCACTCGCCGGCAGAAATTGTTCATTTGCAGCTATTTAAAAAACTAAAGAAAAGGTGGTTACTTATTCATGACTAATGTTTAATTAATTAAGAAAGCACGAAATCGCTACAAACTGCAACGTATACAATGAAACAAAAAATGGTCGCTGCGGTTTTTTTTATATAAAAAAAACATGTCGTAAACCCCTACACATTTCCTTAAATAGATTTTAATTTTTATCTTAGGTTAGGGAGTGTACTACGTGAGTGCGAATGCCGATTACGCGAATGACGATAGTCCGAAGACGATTGCGCGAAAGATTAAATGCGCGATAGTTCATTTGCGCGAATGGACAGTTGCGCGAAAGCTTAAATGCGCGATAGTTCATTTGCGCGAATGGTCAGTTGCGCGAAAGTTTGAATGCGCGCTAGTTCATTTGCGCGAATGACGATAGCACGAAGACAGATATTGCATAGAATTGCAACAACCTGCAGCCAAGGGAGTCAAATCTGTCTTCGTGCTAACGTCATTCCCGCAAATGAACTAGCGCGCATTCAAGCTTTCGCGCAACTGACCATTCGCGCAAATGAACTATCACGCATTTAAGCTTTCGCGCAAATGAACTATCGCGCATTCAAGCTTTCGCGCAACCGTCTTCGCATATATACTTTAATTTTAATGACGTATGTGCACATCACAGGCGATGCACGCGTGGTCACCGTGGGAGCGGCGGTTGTGCTTCGCAGCGCCGTTCTGTATGCGCGTGCTACTGGCCGGCGCGCGCGCAGCTCACCTCGGTGGCGGAGACCCGCACGCCATTCTACATGTCTTTCTGCAGGTTTGACCTTACTAACCAACCTTAAAACTGTTATTCAGTCCTGCGCATATATTTAACGTTCAGTTTAATAAAACTACGTAATGTGCCATTAACTGTCATAACGCTATTCTTGGATAACAGCTCAAATAGTACAAAAGTGTAGCAAAATGTTACTGTAACAAATAAATAAGACATGGATTGTCGTTAGAGCATACCACAAGATCTGTTTGAAAAAGTTTGGGATACTATTTCATGTTGACACTGATTTACGGGTCACTAGAAACGTTAAGAATAGAGAACCTACAACAACGGACATAGATATATACGTAACTGGTCAATCGACGCTATACATCACAGAATAATGAATGATGCAAATTAGGAAATGGTCAGATGAAGCCTAGATTTTTTTAACTGCTAATAAAAGTTAAATAGCCCGCATTCATAGTTAAAAAATTAAATTAGAGCACGAAGATTAGAACATAGTGCACTTAGTTACCTACATTTAAAAAATACATTAAAGCTAATATCACCTTGGAACTGTAATACGTCATCTCATAAATCAATACCATCGACATTAAACTACACAGTTCACGCCAATTAGTGGCGAGCGAGTTAAATAAATAATTAGCAAGAGAGAATGCAGCACATGTTACTGCAATTACAGGGCCATTAATGGCACCTGCGCTTGCGACCACATGAACCTCGTGCTTTTCACTGTCGAGCTAATAAATAAGCCAAATAAATATTATAAATAAGCCAAAATGACTGCAAAATTGCGCTATGACTAAACAAGTACAGCCTTCAACTACAATTGTAGTTACTAATAAGATTTGCAGTCACCGTCACAATTTTAATTAGTCGAAAGTTCTACTAACCGACGATGTTTTGGGTTCTTTATAAATTCCATTGTACACATATATATATACGCCATTTTAAATCCAGAAAAACAGTTTCATTTCCAATGTATAGCAATCACGAAAATTTAAGAACTCAATACGCTTATTTAGATTTCGTTGGAAGGAGGAATTCTTTAGAGCCTATGCAGACGGCGTAATTAATGCGCGCCGACGACGTGCGTATACGCGCCGTAAACACACATATGTATCGCGCATTTTGATACAAGACAGTTTTAATTTTAGTTTCCTATGTTAATTTCACTTAGTTTTTTGAAATAAAACAACTACATGAAATTCTAAGTGTAAACTCCAGTGGAGTATATAAGCTTCTTGTTTGCAACGCAATGTTTGCGCGCGTTTGAATCGACTCACTACAGCGCGTCTGCGGCGCGTATACGCGCAGTTGACGCGCGTTTACGGCGCGTATAAAATACAACGTATGCATCGGCTATTGTGGATACCAGAGGTGTGGACCAAATATTAAACCCGATTTCACTACCCAATGACCTACGCTACGGACCAAAATTTTCTCTAATAATATTAATATTATTTCCTAAGAACTCGAAGTCCGTTCCCCATAAATTATTCCCTAATATCTCGAAGTCCATAGTTCTTTTATTGTTTTGTTCCGCGCATGTTATTCGATATGCAATGTACGTAAAATTATTTTTGAATCTACATTAATTTTCATCTGTTTTATGTATGCACATCTTGTGATGAAAGAGACTCGGTCTTTTAAGGCCTTTTAAAAAAACCTCGACTAATTTTTAACGCCTCACGACAAGTCTAGCCTTTTAACCCTCAAGTCTTGAGTCATAAGACTAAAACTAAAGTCTAATTCGAGTCGAAGTCTTTTAACCCTAGGAAGCTTAAAAGACTTATTGGACTAAAACAACTAAAAAGACTAAAACGGCTGGCGCCTCGTAGCCTCGGGGCTCGCGAGTCATGAGCCGTAGGGCGTGATTTTATTTCTACCCACAAGGTATTTATTATACGATTTTTATTATAAATAAATAAACGTGATTATTTACTACATACTACTTACGTCATATTTATTTATAAACTTCGGGTTTAATAAGACATAAAATAGATATAAGTCCTTTGCAAACAACTCGAATCGTTTAAGTCTTTCAAGGCGTTTAAGTCTTTCGAGTCTTTTAGTATAACGATTGAGTCTTATTAATAAAAACTCGAACCCCCAGCCTTAATTTTAGAGTCGAGTCCTGTAAAATGGAGTCGAATCTTTGTAAAACGCCTTAAAAGACTGAGTCTCTTTCATCACTATGCACTTCTTAATTGTTACAATGTAGCACCCTAGAAGACATAATATCATTCGGATGTCAGAGGCCAAAAGGATTGCAATAAGTTTCTGCTATTGATTTTCCATTATTTATGATTTACAAGATGTTGACATATCTACTCGTATAATATATCCTACATTCTACAAGGCCGGAGTCTTGGTGTAAATAAAGCCTCACATGTGATTAAATAAATACGTTAAAATTTTATCAATTTAATACAAAGTACATGAAATATGTGAAATTTTATAACTCTCCTTATTCAAACTTAAAAATTTAACGACTAATTTCGTTCGTAGAATCGTTAAACCTGACTTATGGCAACTTGTGATTTTGTAAATGCGGCCTTATTATACCAAAAGTGCGATTTGAGCAGGGTAATCTTACATCTTTAAAGGTAATGAACAAAGTCGCAAGAACTATAGTAAGTCTACTTGCTAGGTTGGCAAGGCCCAGAACATTTCCCCTGTTATAATATAAAAATTCAAAACGTTTCAAATAATTAAAACAATTACCTAAATAAACATTTAGTACCTACCACTATCGGCCGTCACCGCTAAACCGTTATTATGAATGTAAGTTGACTAATGTGTGGCGATTGTGTTTGTTGAAAACCAAATAAATTTAAATGCGTTGTTTTTATTATCCTAACGCACCATTTTATTTTTTTCATTGTATATATAAAAGCCTAACTTCGTGACTATTATTATACACCTTATTTCATTAGAAATCAGTTTTTGTGTTTGGTGTGGTAATCTTTGATAAAATTATACCAACAATAGCCACAAGATATATCACCATATATCACCATCAATAGCGACGTGAAATCTCTTGATTTCATAAATGTAGCGTAAAAATGAGTGTTCTGAACAAGACATGTTATTACATGACGTAATTAGGTGAGACGGAGCGCAGGTTCTGGGTCCCATGGAAGAGTGGCTCGAGCCGTTGTCGACTGGCGAGCAGCCAACTAATGTTTCAGTGACAACTCTATTTATTGCCACTTTCATTTCGCCAACGGGTCGCCATATATTGGACAAGTTATGTGAACGCTAGTGCAGTACCTACGCGTTATGGGGCTCTGCGAGCCACTTATTCCCGTTATTTTATAAGCCTTGATCAACTTCAACAAATATGATGTTGGGTGTGTTTAATATTTTGAGAATGTTCCTTGTAAAGTCACAAGGCATAAGATGTCACATTGGTGTGTTAACGTCATCCACTTTGCACAATGATAGCTACAAATCGACAATACCGAATACTGTAAAATAAATAAACTAGGAATTGGCCTACGAAACCGAAAATGTAATATTCAGTTGGATTTCAATTTTCAATTTATTTATTATTACACTTTTCAGTTTTCAAGTAATAAATACATAGGGCGCACTGTAAGTTTCCGGAACTGGCCACTTACATAAACAACATTTAAAAAGTAATTACAACATTTGAAAATGTATCTCTTTGGCTGTATAATATAGTTTGTTTCATCTGACTGTCCCTTATTTTTTACATTGTGGCGTCATTTTAGAAGTTGATTGTCTACATCACCATGGATTTAACTCGTAAAAATTTTCATAGTATTATTTTCTACGACTTAAAGTGTAATTTAACAGCTCAGCGGAGCTTCGCTCGACTTCAAACTGCTTTTGGCTATGAAGCACCATGCAAGACAACTATTTATAGCTGGTTTGCAGAATTCAAATGCGGTCGAGTGAATCTCAGTGATGAATTTCGTGATGGTTGCCCGTCCACTGCTATGAACAACAGAAACATCGATGCTGTGCGCCGTATGATCGAAACAGACAGACATGTGACATACCATGAGATTCGGGCATAAAGATGCCCGATGTTAGATGAGATTAAAGAATCTCTCATCTTCTCGTGCATAGGCATGAGTCAAATACAATCAATACTACACAAACATTTGGGTGTGAAAAAGCTGTGCTCTCGGTGGATCCCACAGAATTTTACTGAGGCTCAAAAAACAGATCGCGTCACTTGGTGCAATGCCATGCTTACCAAATTCAACAGAGGGGCGTCAAATTTGGTGTGGTACATAGTAACTGGTGATGAAACATGGATTTATAGTTACGATCCCAAAACAAAGCAGCAATCGAGCATATGGGTTTTTCGATATAAGCCGAAACCAACCAAAGTGGCACGCGTGCAAAGTGCCTCTAAGCGGATGATTGCTACTTTTTTTAATGAAACTGGTCACGTGGCTACTGTTGCTTTGGAGAATCGTTGTACCGTGAATAGTGATTGGTACACGATCATTTGTTTGCCGGAAGTTATTGACAAATTCCTTAAAAATAGCCGTAAACGCCGTATTATATTGCACCACGATAGTAATGCCAGTTCTCACACGGCCAGACAGACAAATGAATTTTTGAAGGTAAACAACGTTGACCTTATAAGCGATCCCGCGTACAGCCCCGACCTGGTACCTTGTGACTTTTATTTATTTCCAAAAATTAAGAACCAGTTACGCGGTCAACGATTTTCATCACCTGAAGAGGCTGTCGAAGAGTATGAAAAATATGTTTCAGAGATTGTCACGGAGGAGTGGCATACATGTTTTCAAAATTCGTTCATTCGTATGAAAAAGTGCATTAACGCTAACAGAGAATATTTTGAGTAACAGTAAATTCATTTCTGACCATTTATAGTATTTTTTTCTTATTAATTCCGGAAACTTATAGTGAGGACAAAACAATATGCAATATACATAATAAGCAATATAAAAACAATATCTGTATAAACCTATACAGATTTTTCGCACATTGTGCAGTCGGCATCTACACAATATAAAAAATTGAAAACATAT